AAGCCGATGGGCCAGTGAGCCAAGGTAGTCCAACTCTGTGCCACATAAATATTTTCAAATATCTGGGAGCCACATGATGTGTGTGTGTGTGTGTGTGTGTGTGTGTGTCGTGTGTGAATATGGGATGTTATGAACTGAATTGTGTCTCTTCTCTTCCCCAATTTATATATTAAAGGCCTTACCTCCCATGTTATTGTATTTGGAGATGAGGCCAAGAGGTACTTAAGGTTGAATGATGCCATAAGTGTGAGGCCCTAATTCAATAGGTCTGGTGTCCTTATAAGAAGAATAAGAGACACCAAGGCCATGTACACACGGAGAAGAAAGTCCATGTGAGGACAAAACAAGATGCCAGTCGTCTGTAAGCCAAGGTAGAAGAAACCAAACCTGCCAAGATCTTGATCTTGGACTTCCAGACTTATGAACTGTGCAAAAATAAAGTTCTGTTGGCTAAGCCACCCAGTTTTTGTATTTTACCACTGCAGCCCCAGGTGACGAATACTTGGGGGCAGGAGTGTCCCATCTTTCTGTTTGACACCTATGCTCCCAGGGTGGCTGCTATCTCCCGGGAAGCACAGCAGATGGCAGTGGCGTCCTGTGAGTCTGCACAGCCAGCCGCCTCTCAGGCTGTGGCTCTGGCTTAGCTAATGAAAGGCTAAGAGACATAAGCTTCAAGGTCCAGGCTTCTTCATAGGAAAAATCAATAACTTTGCATTCAAATGTCCATATAACTATTCATCAAAGTGGGCTCTAGAAAAGCAAATGAGATCCTGTTTAAAAGGAGAAATAAGAAAAACAAAATTCTCAGGCATGTGACGTGCCTGCAATCTCACTCCTTCTAGTTCAATGAGGGTTGATTGCTATTTCACGCATCTAAGTTTGAGTCCGAACCCTCTCCATCACTCCCAGAGGTCTCTGCAGCTCCCTTGCCACACTTGCTGCTGAGGTGTGAGGTGTCAAAACTGAGCCCATGGCTGGCCAGCCTCATACTGACACCAAGAACACTGTAATCTTCCAGTTGCCATACTTGGGCTGTTACCTCGCTCAGCAGTTACAGAACCCAAACTGCTCTCTGTTCCTATCGGGGCTCTGAGGGATGGAAACTTAACCCACTAGGCCAGCGGGTAGGTAGCACCTCCTCCTGCACGACACTCCTATCAGGATGCTTCATTACAAATCCACAGCAGGCAGGAGCAGACAGAGACCCAGCCCTTCCCCGATGACCCAGACATTAAACCTGTCCCATACATCAGGGCTTACTTTCTGTGAGTACGCGCACGTGCGTGCCTGTGTGTGTGTGTGTGTGTGTGTGTGTGTGTGTGTGTGTGTGATTTTCAACAAGCCAGGATGCTTTTAAAGGATCAAAATAATTTCCTCTGTGACATAATTACCAAAAATTAGACTGAAATTTCAAACGTTTACGCTTAAGCATTGGAAGTCATGTATTCTAGGCAGAGTCTAGAGATGAACATACAAATGACCAAGACTATGACAATACATGAAAATATTAAATGAAAGCATTGTACTCAATACTCATAACTGTCTGGACAGAGAAGTAGCCCAGAGGAGCATCTCCTGCATGCTGTTTAGTCCTGTGAACTCCAAGGTAATTCTACTTGGATATAAAAATAGGAAAAGTAATTCATATCTTGTCCACTGAACAAAAAGACTAAAATGATAAAACTTGCCTATGAAAAGTTGGGTTAATAAAGCAAGATAAAGTATTGTGGTCAAAATACATATAAAGACATAAGCATTATTTTAGAGTCTCTGGGAAAATAGTTGATTAGATGCTTGAAAGATAAACCTGATCTTCCAAAACATATTTGGTTTTGGCCAAAACTAGATCTACGGTGAATTCCCTAAAATGTGTTTTCTGGAACTCCAATTCTCTGGAATATTAAGACTTCTTATGAAAAAGCATTCTGTGTTCAGGTGTTTGGGATATTATTATACTTTTAACTTTTGTAAATTGATGTCTTAACATCTACAAAATGACCATTGGCTGATCCCAAGTAAGCCCTTGCTCACCTAAAATACCTGGAGACTTTATTTATTTTTAGATTATATTTATTTTATTGTTTAAGGTATTATAAATAGTAATAAATGTCTCCCCCTCCCCCCGCCATTGATCTCCCCCTGGCCTCCCCTACTCCCCAGCACTTGCCCTCACCCCACCTCCCCAGTGTCTTGTGTCCATTGGTTATGCTTATATGCATGCATACAAGTCCTTCGGTTGATCTCTTAGCCCCCCATCCTTCCCTGACTTCCTGCTGTAGTTTGACAGTCTGTTCTATGCTTCTTTGCCTCTGTATCTATTTTTGTTCAATAGTTTATAATGTTCTTTATATTCCACAAATGAGTGAGATCATGTGGTATTTAGATAGCCCCAAACTATATTTTCTAATAGTCAAGTGAACATGCACTTCACAAGGTGCCACTTTTACAGTTAGCTAGCTAGTACTCAACCTGCTTAGCCTGCCTTGCCCATTTCTTAGATGGAAAAAAACACAGTAAAGGTGCTTGCCTATAGTTTGCTCTCTCTCTCTGCCTTGTGATCTACCCTGGCGCTTTCTGTGTGGCCCTATGTGGCATGAAGTGTTCGTCCCCAGGACACTATGAGTACAATAAAACTGCAAAACTATTTGTGGCTTCTCGCTGTGATCTGCATTTGGCCTCACTATATGTCATCCAATGTAATACGGCTCAATCGTGGATTAAGAAAAATTGAATATCCTTCTTTATTGCAGTGGTCACAAAGATGTGACTCTGTAAATGTACATTCTAAATTTCCAGTGTCAAACTTATTTGGCTTTGGGATCTAGTTTTGAGCAGTATATCTTATGGTACCAGTATTTCTAGGGTTCCCTCTGGGAGATACTATTCTTGAGAGATACTGATTATCTGTCTAGGCGAGTTGGCGTGTCAGTATTTTCCGAAGTAAAAAAATGCACTGGTGTCATTGTGAAATGAAACCAATCATTATAGCCAAAGGAACTCAACTCTCATATGAAATTTACTGTAGACTTTACTTTCATTAAAGATTTGGCACAAAAACACTGCATGGTAATATCTGAATGCATGTCCATAGTTTGTGGGGTCCATGCATTTAAGAATCCATTAATCTATTACCCTTCCTACCTTGGAATACATCTTTTGTGCATAAGACAAGTACTCATAGATGTCTTCTCTTGCATATTCCATTAGGCATCTTCATCTAAACCTGTTCAAATGAAACCCATTTTCACATTCCCATTCTATTTTCCTCAAGTGACATTTCCATGTACCCATTCACGTATACCAGAAACCCAGGAACCTATCAGTGTCTTCATTGTCCCTTACACAGTACCACCCATAGCCCATTAAGCACTCTGTTTCAGCATGTCTCCTGTCATATCTATGCTGTCCCTCTACAACACAGTCCAGACCTCATGATCTCATATCTCAGTCATTGCCATTAGGTCTAACAAGTCTCCCTTTCTCTAATCTGTACCACTGCTTCTGGTCTTTCCTTCACACTGACACCACTGGGATTTTTCTCAAGTAAAAATTTGATTATATTATTCTGTTTTTATAAGCTACCTGCCAATTGGTTTGCCATCATGCTATACAAAATAAGGACCAAATTCCTCACTCTGTCACACCATTTTTCTACTGTCTCATCCATGCTCTCTTTTCTAATCTTCTCTGGATGCCCACCTCTAGCACAGGACACAACCCAGTCATATTAACTTGGCTTCTGTGCTCCCAACATGACTAGCTATGAGATGCCTTGGTGCTTTCTCACCTTTTACCTGGAATCACCTTACTCCCACATTGGCTACCCTAGTCATCTTTCATCTTCAAGACCAAGCTCAAGAGTGTAAGAGTATTCTCTATAACGACTATCCTGGTCCCTTTCCTATTTCCCCCCACTATGCACTCTGGAGGGTTTTATACTTATTTGTCCACACCATTGCTTCTTCCTACCAGACGGTAAATTCCTAGAGGTAAAAGATTGTGTGCTACCAATCTTAAAATCTCCAAAGCCTCACAGAGCACTTGATACACTGAAAAACGTTTTACAAATGCTTTTTTAGCAAAAGGGCCATCATTTCCTTTCATACATAAAATAATATAAACTATGTACTGTGTGTTCCTCAAATCATCCTGTAACAGAGCAGTGAATTCTTGACTTTTTCCCCTCTGTCTCAAAACCCCATCATTATGAATATTTTTGGAAACCAAAAAGCATGATTCCCAATTTTGATTTTTTTCCTGAGTAAATATAGGTACATGGGCAAGTATCCAGGATAGCACTCAGAGAGACTCGAAGTCTTTTCCCAATCCCCCTCTTTCAGATCCTTAGGTGCAAGGGCCGAGTGAAACCTTGCACCTGCTGATTTTGGAAGAGCAGAGGACAGTGGAGCCACTCGAGGCCTGCAGGAGGGCACCGCCGTCTCAACTCTGGACCAAGCAAGAGGACTCAACGCTGAGACTCAGGCACGGAGTTCTAGCCACTTGCATCCAAGAGTAGGAACAAAAAGGAAATATAAAAATTTGCTTTCCTGAAGACAAACTTCTTGAATTAATCCGAAGTTAATTCTTGTGAGAGTTTTAGGAACTATTGTTGATTGTTAAGGCTTGTAGTCCTGGGTAAAACTGATTAGTTATCGAAACCTAATAAAAGGTTTATAGAAACAGAACAGTCAAGTTAACCAATTTTAAAAACCACTTCCATCTCCAGTTGCCTCTTCCTATTTCCTACTTGAATTGTTATAAGATCTTAACAGTACTTTCCAATAAAAAAGAAATATGTTTTCAAAATGAATCCTTCCCCAGTTGTTTTGCTATCCTCTATACTTTTATGAAAACACTTGAGCCCTATGGATATGAAAGGCTTATCACCTGTTCTAATGACATGTTGGGGGACATTGTCTGAGCACGAGGAAGGCTAGGCAGGAGGCAGGTGGGAAGATGCTTTGAGCTTGAAAGAAACAGAATAGAGCTTTAGTACTTACAGCTGTCCTCTTCTTCAGTTATACATTTCACAACATAGCAGGCGTAGATGAACCCTGCCAGCTGAAACAAAACAAAGGTGCTTTAGACAGGAGGCAAAGGCAACAGAACTGGAGCTCGCTGGGGGCGTGACTTTTCAAAGGCAGGCAGTTTAGGACTAGGTCTAGTGTTCCAAGATGGCCCATCAGACGGGATCCTGACTCCAGTGTGGATTCCCGATTCCAGTGACGTCTATCTGCCTGATAAAGAAATATTGTCCTCTGACCTGAAATTATGTGTAAGACTTGCTAATTGCCAGGCAATCTAAAACAAGCTATTGTAGATGCAGGAAAAGGAAAAAGGAATTATGGCCACTCATTAATGCAATAACATTTGCATTTGTGGCAATCAACTTCTAATTTACCTACATGAGCCACTGACTAGCATAAAAACGCTTTCAGGGAAAAATATTAAGGAGATTCCATGGTATGTGGCATGAACACTCTATCAGTAAAAAGACCTCTTATTTAGACCTCGAACAGGAACCAAGCAGTCCAAGTCTAATTAGGATGAGGTGGACGCCTGTGGGTGATGAGTATCCCAATGCACTAAAGTCAGGATTGCACACATCACGTTGTCTTTTCTGAAACATACCGCAAAAAGGCCCTTATGGGCAGGCAAGTCTTCACTGACTGAAATGGGTCCCTGTACAGGAGCATGGCAAATCTCCTGTGATATCTGTCCCCTTAGATTGCATTCCCTCATACCAGTCTATTTATTTAGTCAAGTTATGAGCACTGCTGGAAGGAAGCAAACTAATATCATTCCTGATAAGTGGAAAAATTATTACCCAAAATAATCCAGTTAAATAATCTTTAAAAGCACGTCCTCAGAACGGTGATGAAGATTATTCACGATGGCATTTCAGAAAAGCGTTGAGTCCTGACCCCCCACGACAGCATTTGGTGTGGGGAAGGGAGGGGACCTTAGGAAAGGCTGCAGCCTCCCATCGGGAAGCTGAGGAACAGGGCCCCGCATGATGAGCCTACTGAAGATCTTGTATTAGCTGGCAGCGATCCTTCTGGAAGATGTGAGTGGAGGATTTTAAGTCGGATGGGACACTGATAGTGATGTAATGAGCCCAGAACTATTTGGAGACAAAGGGGGGTCCAGTTTAAGGAAACTTTAGGAAATCTCTAATTTGGGTTTGAAGGAGAAAGTACCATGCGACAGTTTCAAACCCTCTTCCAAAGAGAACCGGTGTGGGATGAAGCACTGGCTATCCTGGCTCAGAAGCAGTGACCCTGCTCCGGGAGGAATGGATGGGAGAGAAGGCTGTGCAACATATTCTTCAAGGGCTTTTGCTTTCAGATCCCGGATGAGAGGGAATGTGTCCCCGCCCCCCCCCCCCCCCCCCCCCCCCAAATGCAGTATCTGAACCAGTGCACAAATAAACAGCTAAATAAGGATACCACCACTGATGTTGAATTAGCAGTTAGTTTTCTTTAAAAAATAATCAACCTCCAGCATTTTTTTCATTGATTATATGTTGCTATTGGCAATAAAATAGTGATAGTAAGAACTATTTTCTTATATAAAAGAAACATCAGGATCATTGCTTTTACAGGACTGATTTTTCAAGTATAGAGTATTCTTAAAAACCAGTGTCTCCCATTTGGTTTTAGTGGAAATTTTGATTTGACCAAAGTCATATGGTGATTTTAGCATTTTCATGGGTACTGGAAAAATAGATTATACTAACACTTCTTAATCTTTTATCCACCAGGACCCATAAAAATCTCTAATCATTGAGTGGCCTGGCCCCATGGATACTCTGTCATTGGTACTTGGATATGATTATAGCTAGGTAAAGAGGCAATGGTTTGATTAAATGCCCCAGTCATGTCTATAGCTCCTTCCCTTCCTCCACATGAAGTCCTTACCATCCATGGCTAATTGCTACAGATTTATTAATAATTTATCTCTACTTTTCAGTTTTAAATATTTGTTACTTGAATTATCGATAAAACATTTTTTTTTTTTTTTTTTACAAAATCACAAATTTTTTTTTGACTCTTACTATTTCATCACTTTTGGATATAAAAATGTAGGTAAGCAATATTGATAGATTCAGGACCAAAAAAGTTCAACTTTTCATTAAGCTCCTAGATTATTAACTGCACCACTCTCCCAGAATTCAGGGAAGGCGCTGTATTCTGCTTACCAGTGATCTTTTAATTGTGTTTGGTTGCATTCTTTAACTATCAAGGGAGCGGCTTTGATAGAAAAGTAAATCCTGCTGCATTTCATTACAAAAGCTTGCTGATTAAGAGAACTTTAGCTTTTAAATTGGTCTCCTCTAAATACAAATGAAAATTTGTTTTTCCCAAATTAATCAAGATTCATAAACCTCTGTTATCTTCTAATTTTCCTACACCATATAAATTTCCAATTAATTTTTACTCCCTCATGGTGATTTATAAAACTCACCTACAGAAGAGGGGTTTCAAATCATTTCTGACAACTCTGTCTCCCATAATGTGCAACTCTGCTCATTTGCTACCTGGCTGCAAAGATGAACTAAGCTAGGATTTCCAACCTCAGCATCACTGATATTTTGGGTTAAGCAATATTTTGTGAGCTCTCTTGTGCATTATAGGATGTTTAGTAATATCCTACCATCAAGACAGATGACATTTGGGACAATAAAAATGTCAGCAGAAATTGCCATATATCCCTTAAAAGGCAAAATTTCCCCCGGTTAGAGCCACTGTTTTGGATACCAATCCTATCCTAAAGGAATTTGAAATCTTGTAGCAAAGATACATATGCCATTATAATTTGAAGTAAATTGAGATAAGTGTCAGAAGGAAGGAAGAAAATTGAATGTCTACTAAGTGACAAACAAAAAAAAAATCAAATGTCTACTAAGTGATTACTAAAAAAGTATGATATTTTTCATGGAATACAAACCCTTCCTAATGTTACACTTAGCTCCCCTTCTAGCCTCATTTCCCACCACTCCTAGTCTCAAAATTGATGCCAGTAGTAAGCTGTTTGGTGGTTTGCTGAAATATATCAGGTAGTTTTCCTCCTCTGTTCTTTAACTCATTAGCCTATTCTACCAACAAAGCATGTGAATGTCCTATGCCTTCTCCCTCCCCTGCCTGTCCAGCCTTGCACCTCTGAACAATTCTAACTCATCCTTTAAGACGGAACACAATTTCTGTCTCCCCCAAGAGCTGGCAATTAATTATCAGGGTAAGGTGCAGGTTGGCACATTGGAGATAAACCTCAAGAGATGGAAGGACTTTGAGAGAGGAAAGGAGAAGACATCTTCCAAGCAGATCTCAGAAAAGCTCTGGGAAGGTGTAAATTATTATTCATGGAGGAGCAGATGGCCCAGCTCTGAGAAGTTTGGGCAAAGTGAAGAGTAGTGATGATGCCCAAAGCAAACAGTGACTTATGTTGTCACAGTAAATCTGAGTGCCTGGAGTTAAAATACAATTATTTTATTTTGTTCCTTTTAAAAGGTGGCTAGAATAATAATGAAAGACACTATGCTAGGCAAATATACAATTATTCACTTTGAAAAACTCAAAGTATTCCAGTTGTTTTAGCCTTTGGCATTCAAAGCTGAGCTAAGCCTAAATCTGTTTCTTTTTATTCATCTTTTCACCTTGATACATCTAATAGGATTTGTTCACTTCTAATTCACCTGATAGGTAATTACATATCATCTTGATATCATTACTGGCTGAAAGGATGTATTTTCTCTCTATAACTAAATCAGGTTGAAATACTTTTTAAAAAAATCTACAAACCAAATTATGATGGTATATCCCAGAAATTCACTTAGAAGCTAATAGGTAAGAGGTAATTGAAGTCTATTGGTAAGTGTTTTAAAAGATTCAATTGTAGTAATTGAAAGTATGACAACCTTAGTGTCTAAAATTCTATCATTTGAACTTCTGTTTCCAGGAAGTTGGAATAAATGTACTTTTCTGTAACTCCCCCACTAAGTACAATTAAAACCCTTGGGCATTATATATATATAACAAATGTAGGGAGAATCTGAAAGGCAGAAAGAAGGTAGGTTGGCTAGTAATCTTGGAACCCAAGGAAAGACTACCAAAAATTTATATACTGTATGATTCTATTTTTAGAATATTCTTGACAGGACAAAATTATAGAAATGAGGAACAGATTTGTGTTCAAGGACTAAGAAAGGTGGTTGATTATAGGGAAGTCAAGCTGGTAGTAAAAAGGCAGCCTGAGGGATTCTTGTGGTGATGGAATTGTTTGGACACGACTGCATCAATGTCAGTATCCTAATATTGAGGCTGTACTATAGTTTTGCAAGATGTTTCCATTGGGGGAAACTGGGTAAAGAGTACATAGGCTCTCACTGTATTATTCTGCACAATTGTTTCTGATTTACAATTTTCTCAGATAAAAAGTTTAAAGATTATACATTTCAGTGTACTATTATTAATGTTAAAAACTTTTGTATTATAATTTAAAAATTTTAAATACATTTAAACAAGGTTGATATCTTTATTTTATTATCTACAAAGACATAATTTAATTCTGAGCCCTTAGACTGAACTGAAGTCCACAATAGTTTTTGATGTTGATATAATATCTAATCATTATTCAACACTTTTTGACTGGGGTGGAGATTGGGGCTGGCAAACACTATTTTTTTAAATCTACAATTATCTCATTCTCCAACATATTAGTTCTATAATTCAATGAAATCAAATAAACTATTTTTGTTCTGAATTCATAATTCAGATTCTATAAACCCATCCTTTTTTAATATGAATTTAAACAGATGGATATTATGCCCTTACTGAATATACTTTTAAGTTGTAGATATCTTATGTGCTCTTTTGCATCTTATTCCATTTATATAATTTGACATTGCTTCAGCAAAGGATTCCAATATGATTATAACAGTGCTATTAATGAAGGTCTTACATATCAATTTAATGGGGTTGATGTATCATCTCTGGTGTCTACCAGGTTATTCTGATCCCATACTATTCCACTATTAGGGAGCATGCTGCAAGGGTTTTTTT